GCAGCCCAGCGTCACTAGGAGTTGCACTCCCTGGACTTTTCCACCGCGTTCCTACAGGGGAGCCTGCACGAGCAAATTTGGCTGCGTCGCTCGCCTGGCTTTACTGCGACCCAGTGGCAGCTGCATCAACTAGTCTACGGCCTGCGTCAGGCTCCACATGGGTGGCACGACAAACTTTGCTCGACCCTTCTAGCGCTTTACTTCTTTCCGTCGTCTGCCGACCCGTCACTGTTCATCCGCCGTGGCTCCACCCCATTATTTGTTCTTGTTTACGTTGACAGCCTAGTCTTCGCCACTCCCGACCGACACGCACTGGCCTCCGTGAAGGAGGAACCGCAGAGGAGACACACTTGCACTCACCTTGGTGAGCTGCAGCACTACCTTGGTCTGCAGATCACTAGGGACAGGGCAGCTTGCACCATTACGCTGACGCAGTCGCATATGGTCGAGCAAATCCTCATGCGGTTCCGCTTCCTGTTCTCAAAGGTACATCTCACACCTCTTGCTATGGAACAGGTTTTGTTTCATGGCGGTCGACTTGGGTGTCGTCCGTCGCCGGTTCCAGCTGTGAGGCACAAGTGTACGTTGTGGCCATGGCTGCTCAGGAGCTTTGCTGGCTGTCCTTCCTTCTCACTGACCTTGGTGAGAGGGCTCGCTCTCCCCCACTCTTGTTCGCCGAAAACAGGTCTGCTGTCCTGTTGTGTGAGGAGCCCCGACTGGTTGGGTAGGCGAAGCACATCCAGGTTCGTTACTTCCTTCTTCGTGAGTTGCAGCAGCATGGCTAGGCACTCGTACGGCGTGTGGTCTCAGAGGCCAACACGGTAGATATCTTCACCAAGGCGTTGCCACCTTGTGACCACCAGCGTTTCTGCACCCAGCTTTGCCTAGTGCCTGCCCGTCCTCACTTGCTTACGTAGATATGATTTGTCTTGCATGTCTTGTAATTTTGCATCTCTAAACATCTGCTATATACCTGCATGTGGACTGGCCTTGTGGCCCCTTGCTTGCTCTCGGAGTGTGTGATGACTCTGAGCTCCACCTTGAGATTTGTCTTGTTCTTGTAGACTGGTCTTGTGACCCTTGCTTGTTCTTGCTGACTGGTCATGTGACACTTTTTTACTCTCAGAATATGTTTTTCCTTGAGACCCACCCTGAGATTTATGTTTCTTTCCGCAGGACTACGGTACCATCACCTAGACTATGTTGTACTTGGTTTAGTCTAGGTGTTACTATTTTTGCCCTACCTCTAGATTAGGGTTTCATACATATTCCTTGTAACTTTGTCATTGTAGTCAATTTCTTACATTGTGACTGTGACAGTTTAGAAGAGAGAAGAGGGCTGCACTAGCAAGAATGGGGATACAAATAGGAAACCCTAGAAGGGTTGTACTCGCTATAGAGCACCCCACTACAGGCTAGAGCATAAGATAACATTCTGACAGTGACACCCGTGTCGAGTACCCACGCGTCAACACCACCGACAGTTGTTCCACTTGCGACGAAGACGAACTCCTGGTCGTTGTTGTCGCATGTCGCCAGATGCGTTCGCCGTTTGTCGTCACTTGAAGATGGCCTCCATTTGGTCGATTTAACTAGACAATCGCACCACCAATGTCCCATCTTCTTGCAAAAACGACAAGCCCCCTCTTGCGCCCGAGCTCGATTTGCGTTGGCAGATCCTCCTCGTGTCGAGTACCCACGCGTCAATACCACCGACGGTTGTTCCACTTGCGACGAAGACGAACTCTCGGTCGTTGTTGTCGCATGTCGCCAGATTCGTTCGCTGGTTGTCGTCACTTGAAGATGGCCTCCATTTGGTCGATTTAACTAGACAATTGCACCACCAATGTCCCATCTTCTTGCAAAAACGACAAGCCCCCTCTTGCGCCCGAGCTCGATTTGCGTTGGCAGATCCTCCTCGTGATGAGCTTGAGGCCGCCGCGCTCCTGTTCTAACTCCCACGGTTGTTGCCATTGTTGCACCGCTTGAAGTAACCCATCCCTTCGTATCGCGGGAGAAGTGTGCCCCACCGATTGCATCGCCATGCAATTTTGTGCGCCTCGCCTCTTCGTTGAGAAGGCGCGCCACCACTTGCTCATTCTTCCATGTATCTTGCGCCCCTTCCAATATCTTGACCGAGGCCCGCAAGGAGCATCATGATCCAATCGTTGTCTTCCATGTCAAGAATGAGGAATGAATGACCTAGCACAAAGTTGGGTACAAGTAGGAAACCCTAGGAAACTGTACCCCATAGTGTCTACCCTACTATAGCCTACACAAGCTATATGATATGAGTTTGACACACCCCCATAGGCAAAGTGGGGGAGAACAAGAGGTCACAAGACCAGTCATGCAACGCAAAGCAAGCTCAAGGTGGATCACAACGTCACAACACAATCCGAGCCAAAGAGCAAGGCCAAAAGGCCAGTTCACATGCAAGATCATATATAAAGGTAAACAAGCAAGTGCAAGTATAGAAAGATCACAGTACAAGCAAGGTCAAGAAGTTAGCAAGTGAGGCCAAGTGAGCACAAGACCTAGCATAGTACAGAAGCGCTGATGATCCCCAAGCGGAAGTGCCTTGGTAAAAATATCAGCAATGTTGGCCTCAGAGGCCACGTAAGCAAGGCGCAGCTGACCACGCTGCTGCAGCTCATGAGCAAGGAAGTAGCGGAGAGCAATGTGCTTCGTTCTGTGCTCCCAACACAAGGCCAGCATGGCCTTGTTGTCTACGTACAGAACTGGAGGAGAACGAGGCGGCTCTCCTATGTCAGACAGCAGGTAGGTGAGCCAACGTAGCTCCTGTGCAGCCATGGCCCCCGCGTAGATCTCAACCTCACAGCTGGAGCCGAGAACAGAAGACGAGCGGGTAGACCGCCACGAAACAGAGCCGGAGCCAAGACTGAAGGTGTAACCCTGTGACGACCGCTGCGTAGCCTGGTCGTCAGCCCAAGAAGCGTCTGTGTGACCTGTGAGGACCACTCGACGTCGCCCTCCAAGCACTAGCCCCATGCCCGACGTACTGCACAAGTAGCACAACACCCTCTTCCCTGCAGCCATGTGCTCTGGTCGGTGTCTCCCAGGAGCAACATAGCGTGCCAAGATGCTAAGAGGGTATGCAAGGTCAGGTCGTGTGCAGGTCATCAGGTACATGAGGCAGCCAACAAGCTCTGGGTACAGACCACTCGGCTCTACGGACTCATCCGAAGGCAGAGCTGAGAGCGAGTGGCGAGTAGACAGAGGAGTGGCCTGAGGCGAGGAGTACGTGAAGTCGAAGCGGTGAAGGACCTGCTGCACCATGTGTGACTGAGTCAGGGTAATGGTGCGCTGTGCTCTGTCCCGGGTGATCTGCAAGCCAAGGTAGCTGCGCAGTTCACCCAGGTCTGTGCACATGTGTCTCTTCTGCAGCTCGGACTTCACGTGGGCGAGTCTAGCAGTGTCAGTAGTGGCAAAGACCAAGTCGTCGACGTACACGAGGATGTAGAACGGCGGCAAAGAGGTGTCGGTGCGCAGAAACAGTGACGGGTCGGCAGTAGAAGGAGCAAACCCAAGAGCCGCAAGTGTAGTCCTCAGTGTGTCGTGCCACTCACGAGGCGCCTGGCGGAGACCGTAGACTGGCCACCGGAGGCTCCACTGGGTACAAGGAGGAAACAACCCAGTGAAGCCAGGAGGGCAGCGCAGCCAGATCTCCTCGTGCAAGCTGCCCTGCAAGAAAGGTGAGCTGAAGTCAAGAGAGTGAAGCTCGTAGTCGCGCTGAGCGGCTATGTGCAGCAGCACTCGAAGAGTGGTCATCTTTGGGGTGGGAGAGAAGGTCTGAAAGAAGTCAACTCCGTGCCGCTGACTTAAGCCTCGAGCGACGTAACGCGCCTTGAAGACAGGCGGAGAACCCGGCGGCCGCTTCACCCTGAAAATCCACATGCCACTGACGATGTTCGCCCCAGGTGGGGGAACCTCGTCGACGCAGGTGCCTGTGAACTTCCAGGAAGCCATCTCTGCGTCCATGGCTGACTGCCACTGTGAGGAGTAGGGACCCTCGATCGCCTCAGCGTACGATCGAGGATGTCGGGATGTCTGGTGCATCCGGGTCTCCCTCATAGCCAATCAGCGTGGACACGAGATGAGGCAAAGCAGCAGCAAAACACTGGAACTCCTCCTGCCTGTCCTCAAGGACGTCCGTGCTAAGAGCATACTCACCCCCGACGGACGGAGGACAGATAGACTTAGACTCAGCAACAAGACTAGCAGTGTAGTCGAGACGACAGCGAGCAGCAAAGTCGACGAGCTCAGAAACCAAGGCAAACGCAGCAATGGACTCAAAGGAAGGGTCAGTGACAACAGTAGCCAGGAGACGTGTGATCGTAGGGCTGGCAGCACAAAGAGAGTAAGACTCCGGGTCAGGAAGAACAAAAAGAAAGGACTCTAGAGGAGACGGCAACGGGACACGCAGAGGAGCAGTGGAAGGACGCAGTGCCATCTGGTGTGTGCCTGGGACCGCAGGAGGACAGGGACGCGGAGCATGACGACTAGTGCGAGTAGCATGAACAAGCGACGCAGGACGAGACGCAAGCTCACGACGCTCAGCAATACCTCCAGTAGGACCAGTGTAGGGAGAAGGAGCAGGCAGGGGGGAGGCGGGCTGTAACTATGACTGCGACTGGACAGGCGGTGGACACTCTAAGGGAGGAGCAGGACCAGTAGAAGGCAGAAGACCAAGAACCTGCTCAAGGAGCGGAACAAAGTACAACCTCGGCCGCACAGCGCCTCCAGAACCAGCAGGTACAGCACCAGTACCCCCAGCGGCAGCACAAGCGCCAGCAGCACCTCCAGCTCCAACAGCGCCAACTCCAGCACCCTCACACGCACCAACGCTAGCAGATTCACCAGCGCCAACACCCCTAGCAGCTCCAGATCCAGCAGCTCCAGCAGCACCCGCAGCACCGACTCGAGCAGGACGGGCAGCTCCAGTACCGCCAGCAGCTCCAGCAGTACCTCCAGCAGGACTAACTCCTGCAGCCCTAGTAGCACCCCCAGCCCCAGCAGCTCCAGTACCGCCAGTACGAGCACCTCCGGGACCAGCAGCAACAGTAGTACCTCCAGCTCCAGCAGCAGGGCTCCAGCGGCGGGCAAACCACTCGCGCAGCTTTTCCGGGGAGAGTGGCTTCCGCCTCGACGAAACACCGCGAGGGGCCACACGAGCAGACCGAGCACCCCTAGGCTCCGCACCCCCAGGCTCAGCACCCCCAGGCTCAGCACCCCGAGACTCAGCACCCCCAGGCTCAGCACCCCGAGTCTCAGCACCCCCAGGCTCAGCACCCCCAAGCTCCGCACCCCTGAACTCAGCACCCAAAGGCTCCGCATCTGCAGGCTCAGCACCTCCAGCAGCACCAGAGTCAACATCTACCTCGACACGCTCGACTGCGTCTACCTGGGACACACTTGACGAGGCAGGACCCAGAGGGGGGAGGGGGTCTACCGGGGGAGGACTTGGCGTAAGGAAGAGCGGCGGTGGGGGGAGGGGCGCAGTGCGGTAGTGGATGAGACGGTAGTAAGGCACCGACTCGTCAAAGGTGACGTCCTGGGAGGACAGAACACGGCGCGAGGTGGGGTGGTAAAACTGCCAAGGGGGGAAGCCAAGGAAGACGCAGGGAACAGCACGAGGGGACAGCTTGTCGGCAGACAAACGCCCGAGATCCCTAGACCCGAAACGCAGACGCATCGCCAACCTTCCCCGTCCACCGCAAGGTGGGGGAGGTCTCCAGCAAGGAGACCCGGGGCTGAAGGTTGAGCTTATGCGCTGCGTACTGAACCGCAAACGGCCACACAAAATGGGGGGCAGCTGCATGGATCATGGACGTATAAGCGACGTCCATGACCATGCCAATGCGGCGCTCAGCAATCCCATTTTGCTTTCGAGAGGCCCGAAGCGTGAAGGTTTGGCGGATGCCCTGTGCACGACACAGACGGGCAGAGGAAAACTCCCCGCCTCTGTCAGAGTGCAGAGGCAGAACAGGAAAGTCCGAGCCGAAACTCTCCCTGAGCTGGAGACGAGCTGCGCGGATCCAGTCGATCAACACCTCAGTGACGTCACCCTTGCTGCGCAAGGGGAAGACTATGGTGTTACGCGAGTAGTCGACAACCACCAACAGGAAGTAACGCTCGTGCCCCTGTCCACGGACGCGGGCCGGGCCCCACACGTCCATGTGGAGGGTCTTCAGCGGAGCCTTGGTCGGAGGAAACTCGGAGGAGTGAGGGGATGCAGGTAGGGGCAGGCCCCGGAGGTAGGGGAGGGAGAGACCGGAGGAGACCAGAGACAAGGACATGGGAGGCCATGCCCCGAGGGGTGACCAAGACGGTGGTGCCAAAGGGGAGTCTGATGGGAGAGGAGACGACACGAGCAAGGAGCAGACTCAGGACCAGACCTGGACGCTGCAGCAAACACCTGACTCGACGCAGTCACCTAGCCAGACTCAGCAGCCGGAAAAGACTCAGTAGTAAGGGTGTACAGGCTCGACCCCGGCCGACGGGTGAACGTGGCCGAGTGTTGGCCTGTCCAAGCGCACGTGTAGTGTGTCACCCGCTGACTCGCAAGAGTGAACTGGTCGACCCCTCGATCCTGTAGGTCAGCTCCACTCACCAAGTTCGTAGAGAACGAAGGGAGGTAGAGACCTGACAAGGTGCCATAGGGGGCTGCCGGGCACGGTAAGACAGTGGAGAAGCTAGCAAGGACAGGACCCCAAGAAGGGGTCCGCCAGGGAGACTGCAACCGGCCGACTAAGCGGCGTAAGCGTGGTGCGGTCTCGAAAGAAGGAGCGGGAAGCACCCGAGCTTAGGGTGAAGGTGTGTAGGGCCTGAGCCGACGTAGTACCTGAGAGAGCGGACTCACCAGCACCTGGGGCAGCAGACACACTAGTACCTGGAGCAGTAGCCTCACCAGCTCCTAGAGCAGCAGCCTCAATGCCCGAGTCAGGCGGAACACACAGGAAGCACTCACCCTCAACACTAACAGTCACAGCATACATGGCAGCAAGAATAGCATCATAGTCGAGATCAAACATGGCAACCCCCGCCCTAGACAGATCTCCCCAGCGAGGGATCTCTGACGCCTCAGGGAAGTGGTGACGCCACGCGTCCGTCAGGCGGCCGAAGCAGCTCTGGGTGGAGTGCGGGCCCCCGCACTGCTCACCAACGCGGTCGCTGGTACGGAGAACGTAACTGCAGGGACCAGTACCCCCACCGCGGTGATGCGCAGCGTACCACTTACGAAGCTGCTGAGGGGACAGGGTCTCACGACTGCGCTGCTGCTGCTGGCGCGGACCACCACCAGACCCACTCCTCTGCGCAGAGTCGCGACCAGCTCCACCGCCGCCGCTGCCACCTCCGCCTCCTCCGCTCCCTCCGCCACCTCCGCCGCCTCCGCCACCTCCGCTCCCTCAGCCACCACTGCCGCCTCCTCCGCCTCCACTGCTGCCACCGCCGCCACCACCCCCGCCACCACTCTCACCACCACCCCCACCCCCTCCACCGCCGCCACCACCACCTCCACCGCCCCCGCTAGCCCCTCCAGCTCCCTTGCCCCCCTTGCCCTTGCCGGTGCGGCGTCGCTCGCTAGGGGCAGACGCAGGGCCGACCCTGTAGAAACCAACGAGGTCGGCAGCAGCAGCAAAAGCAAGAGAGGGCAAGAGGGGGGAGGGGGAACACCCCTCAAAGACGGGGGTGCGAGGGTCACCACGAGAGGCTCCTACAGCTACTATGCTCTTCTCTGCTGCTAGGAGGCGCTCCTCGAGGAGGTCAACGGTGAGAGTGGTGGGGCAAACAGAGAGGAAGTGGTCCTTGACTAAGCGAAGAGAATCAGGGAGTCGGGTGACTATGTAGTTGAGAGTGATGTACAGCGGGGGGGGGTTCTTGGCACAGAACTCAGCAGGAAGCGCAGCGCGGTAGCGAGTGTCACTAGTGCGGAGGTGCGTAATAAGGTCAGCGACTGTGGGAAAGGCAGCAAGGTTAGGGAAGAGGTACGGTAGCATGAGGCGGCTTAGTGCAGCAGTGGCAAGGGAAGAGTAGCGTGCAACTACAGCGTCGTACAAGGTCTAAGCACTCTTGTACTGGCTAAAGTATGCACGCTCAGTGGTCGGTAAGTGGCAACGCACAGCAAGACGGGCAGCAGCATCGCGTGTTGCCCACTGTGTGCGAACAGTGCTGTCAGCAGTAGTAGGCGGGGAAGGGGAGGCACCGAGGTGACGTCGAACAGAGAGAGGCCGTTTGCCCTATCGCACTGGAGGAACAGCTGAAGGTCATCGACCCAGACCTCAAAGTCAACTGCACGACCCTCAGTGTCAAAGGTAAGAATACTGGGGGTAGCCATGACTGCAGGGGTCTAGCAAGGAGTGAGCTCCCCAGTACGAGTAAGTAGGGCCGGGGCGCGCTGGTAGGACTCGTAGCGGCTCAACGGCAGGGCGGCTCGGCGGCTTAGCTGCTCGGCTGCTACGCGGCTCGGCTGTCTGGCGGCTCGGCGGCTCGGCTGCTGGGCGGCTCGGCGGTCGGGCGGCTCGGCAGTTCGGCTGCTTGGCGGCTCGGCTGTCGGGCGGCTAGGCGGTTCGGCTGCCGGGCGGCTCAGCTGTCGGGCGGCTCGGCTGCTCTGCTGCTGGGCGGCTCGGCTGTCGGGCGGCTCGGCAGCTCTGCTGCTGGGCGTCTCGGCGGGTCGGCGGCTTTGCTGCTGGGCTGCTCGTAGAGGCGGCGTTGGGGCCGCTAGGGACAGCGACGGGGCCGCGTAGGGAGGGGAGCGGCGACAGGGCCGCGTAGAGGCGGCGTCGGGGCCGCTTAGGGGCGGCGACAAGGCCGCTTAGGAGCGGCAGTGGGGCCGCTTAGGGGCGGCGACGGGGCCGCGTAGGGGCGGCAGCGGGGCCCCCTAGGGTGAGAGGTGGCGACAGGGCCGATAGGGACGGCGACGGGGCCGCCAGGGGCGGCGACGGGGCCGCGTAGAGGCGGCGACGGGGCCGCGTAGGGTAAGGGGCAGCGACGGGGCTGCTTGGGGCGGCGACGGGTTCGCTTAGGCGCGGCGTTGGGGCCGCGTAGGGGCGGCGACGGGGCCGCGTAGGGTAAGGGGCGGCGGCGGGGCCGCTTGGGGCGGCGATGGGGCCGCTTAGGCGCGGCGACGGGGCCGCTAGGGGGCGGCGTCGGGGCCGCTAGAGGCGGCGTTGGGGCCGCGTAGGGGCGGCGACGGGGCCGCGTAGGGTAAGGGGCGGCGACGGGGCCGCAAGGGGCGGCGACGGGGTCGCTTAGGGGCGGCGACGGGGCCGCTAGGGGCGGCAACGGGGCCGCGTGGGGGGCGGCGACGAGGCCGCTAGGGGCCACTAGGGGCCTGGAAAGGGCGGCGAAAAAGGCGCGCCTCGGGCACGAGCGACTGGCGCTCCGGTCAGAAAGGAAGATTTCAGTGGTGGGCCCAAGGAAGCGTTCCCATTAGGGAACCTGCTCTGATACCATGTGAAGAATGAGGAATGAATGAACTAGCACAAAGTTGGGTACAAGCAGGAAACCCTAGGAAACTGTACCCCATAGTGTCTACCCCACTATATCCTAGACAAACTATATGATATGAGTTTGACATTCCACGCTCGCGTCGAATTCCACCAAGCGCTCGCCAAGCTCCTCCATGCGGTTGACTCACCGTCCTTCATCCTCACCATGAAGAGGCGTGCTTGAAGCTTGCTATGAAGTGACTTGGGGACGTGCTCTCATTCGAGTCGCTTCCACGCTTCACAATTGCGCCTTCACTGTTGATGCAAGGGCTTACGATAGGAACGAGTTGGAGACTTAGCTTAGAGACAAGAAAGGCAAACGCATTTTTGTCCTTTCGCACCCAAGCTTCCTTTTTCCCCAGTTGAAGCGTCCGAAGTGGGCTTCAATGCCGACCCATTAAGGAATCCCCACAATTCGTGCTCCAACATATACATCTTGAGCGTGAAACGCCACGAGGAGAAATACTCCCCGTTAGAAAATGGCACCGCGCTCAAGTCGACAACGTGCGGCATTGTCGAGAAGTCCGTTGGGACGGAAGGGGCCGTTGGGGAATTTGTCGTCGAGGAACTATCGGAGGAACCCATGGCATAGCAATGATTGAGTGAGTACTCCTACTCTAGCTCGCATACCATGAAAGAAACCGTCTTGGTTTAACTGACGCCACAGACTCAACAAAACGGTGCGACCGAAAGTTGAACCGCACGCTCATGGAGTCGGCACGGAGTCTCCTCTCCCATGCTCATGCGGAGAAGTATTTCTGGGATGAGGTGGTTGCGTTGGCAACTTGGATTCACAACCGGTGCGTGACCAAGGCATTGCCGAACAAGACGCCTCTTGAGGCTTGGAACGGAACGAAGCCTGATATCTCCGACCTTCGCACCTTTGGGTGCACGTGCTACTATCATGTACCCAACGTTACACGGACCAAGCTTGAGGCTAACGCACGGGTGGTGATGTACTTGGGACCAAGTGAGGATCACAAGACGTGGCATGTGTGGGACTTAGAGCACGGGAAATTTGTGGTGTCACGCGACGTGGTGTTTTATGAAGACACCTTCCCGTTTAAGTCAATGAACGTGCCCCCGGTCATCATCTTCCCTCCATTCTTGGATGCCGCGGATGAGGCCGATTAAGCTTCTACAGCTCCTCCACCTAGTGCGAGTGAGGGGGAGCATGGATTGGGAGCGGTTGGAGTGAGTGGGGATGAAGGGAATGCCAAGGAAAGTGACCCTTCATCTCATCCTCCCACTATCACTCCCACCCTCGCATCCACTCGCACTCGGAGGACTCTTTATCCCAACTCCAAGTATGATGGCTATTCTCTTGTGGCGGGGGCCGATGAGGGAGGGGGAGACGCGATGTGCCTTGAGGCATTCACCGATACCCCGTCCACCTACCAAGGCGCCATGAGCTCGGTGGAAGCGGCGGAATGGGTACGCCCGCTTCAAGAGGAATATGATTCGCTCATGGTGAACGACGTCTATGAGCTTGTTCCCATGCCTCCTAGCGCCTACCTCGTTGGCTCTCGTTGGGTCTTCAAGAAGAAGCTTGGCCCCAATGGAGAAGTGGAGCAGTACAATGCGCGGTTGGTGGCGCAAGGCTACACTCAATAGGAGAGTCTTCACTACAACGAGACATTCGCTCCTGTTGCCAAGTCCGCCACCTTACACACTCTCTTGGCATTGGCGCAAGCACTTGAATTGAAGGTGGAACAATTCGACGTGAAGATGGCGTTTCTCTACGGTCGTCTCAAGGAGGAGGTGTACATGAAACAACCTCCTGGGTTTGACGACGACTCCGACCGTGTGTGCAAGCTCAAGCGTATAATCTACGGCCTCAAACAAAGCCCTCGTGCGTGGCACACGAGGATTGATGAGCACTTGCTCTTGATGGGGTTCGTACGGAGTGAGTACGATCATGCACTCTACGTTCTCAACAAGGTCAAGAAGAAGCTCGTTCTTCTCCTCTACGTCGACGACCTTCTCCTTGTGTCTGATTGCAAGACCCTTGTAGCGGACGTGAAAGAGAAGCTTGCCGCCGAATTCTCCATGCGTGACCTCGGCGCCGTCTCCCACTACCTAGGGATGCATATCGATCGCGATCGAGGGAACAAGACCCTCGCCCTCCTCCAACACAAAAACTTGGAGAGTGTGGTGGATTGCTTCGGCATGATCGACAACAAGCCTACACCGACACCCATGAAAGCGGGGTTTCATCCATTGGTCGTGAGCGACGAAAACCCGATGGATCCCGAGAGCGCAAAGACCTTACACTCGGTCGTTGGGTCGTGCATGTATGCCACGGTAAGCACTCGCCCCGACCTCTCCTTTCCCGTTGCAGTGCTTGGACGTGTCGTCTCCAACCCCATAGTTGAGCATGTGCGAGCGTCACGTCGCTTTCTTCGCTACATCAAGAGCACCACTCGAATGGGGTTGCACTACAAGAAGGGACCCATGGTGCTACAAGGCTACACAGATGCAGATTGATCGGGAGATCCATCAACCCGCCAAAGCACTTTGGGCTACGTCTTCACCCTCATGGGAGGTGCAATAAGTTGGCAAAGCAAGCGCCAAAACTTTGATTGCACTAAGCTCTACCGAAGCGGAATACGTGGCCCTCACTCGTGGTAGTACGGAAGCGGTTTGGTTAAGGCGCCTCCTTGCCAAGCTTGGGCACCAACAAGAAGGCCCCACACGCATCTACGTGGACAACCAAGCCGCCATATGCCTGTTATAATCTACAATCCACTTAGGGGTCGCGGATGACCATGAAACCGCCTAAGTAGAAACTGACGACTTCAAACCGCCTCTGTTCAAAACGCCGTCACAATCAGCTGCAATAACAAACGAAGCTGAAAATCGGACAGCAGTTAGCCTTAGGTTCGTGCTTTCGAACGGTATATTATTTGCTTCTATCAGAGGTGTATGCACTATGCAGTGAACAAAAACGTAAGCTTGGCTGAATACGTATAGTTTCATTGGTGCAAGGAAGAGGTGTGTATAACATTGCCCAGGGGACTTTTACGGGGTTGGGTCATCCTGGGAGCTCATAGAATGTTGAGTCCCAGGGGAGAAAGGCTAGAGAAGGATGGAAAACGTCCTAGCTAGGTCAGCAAAGCCAACCACACTTGGATGTTCAAGGCTGTACTCAAGGCTACCAATAGTGAGTCAAGCCAATCATGAATCAGCTTGTCTTCCCACATGCACCCTCTTGCAAGCTGCTTCTAGGAAGACCACACTTCTCAAAAAGAGGGTGGTAGAGTCCCACTTCACCACCAGTTCTTCTTGTCTCATTCTCTGTCCCTGCACCATTGGCATGACAACAATGAAAGGGTGGCAAGGGAAATGCTGCCAACAGTGCACCATGACTACGGAACAGTGACTTTCGACAGCTGTCACGCCCTGCTCCGATGCTGGGTTGTCATGAAACTTGGTGAACACCTGCACAACGCGGAAAAAAACGACCAAACCAATTTTCAGACCAATCAGAGCTCGTCAGACGAGTCAGC